CCTGTTATAAAATAGCGAACGCAGCATTTGTGTGTGGTATCTTACCCTTACTGATCATACACGGAAAGACTACATATTAAAAGGTCTCTTTAGTTACGTTTATTTAGAAGTCGCTTACAAGGTCCTACACTGTTACCCTTCACCGTTTCGTATATGAGCAGATGATAGCGCCCATTGGTTACTAATAACCAGTAGAATCTTCTCAATGGTTTCTCTCGATTATGAAAGCTTTGATGTTTCGCAGAAGGCAACCATTTTCTTCATTCATTTTTAGGTGGCCATTCCCTTCAGTAGAGTACTATTCTTCATTTTCCCCGGCTGAGTTAACGTCGGGAATAATACATCAGCTACTTCTCTAGCCTAACGTTGACGTCGTTCCCCTTCGACCCCACACCATTCTTCCTACTATTGTCAGGACTCTGGCGACTGGAAACAGATTAGCTCGTGCCAACATTCAAGCTTTAGCTAACGTCACTTCATTACGTGCGGGAACGTTAGCGGCAAACAAAACGGTTCGTTCAATCCCTGTCGCGTGTGGGCTGTCGCGAGCTCCAACTTCGAGCAGCGAAAGGGTACGTCGACAAGGAGATGCCGCCGACGTTTGTGGCTAAATTCGGATTCCTCACTCTGGTGAAAGCAAACGCAGCGCTTGGTTACCAGCGCCACCAAGCAATAGACATGAATTCTTTCCGGGCTTTTAATTCGGTATTTTATTTTTTTTATAATTAATTCGGGCTGGCCCAAGTGCACCCTTAAAACACTCCGTCTACATGTGATGACGAATGTCGGCAAAACGACACTTAGCATTTGCCCGCCTGCAGGGCATAGAGTTTACAATTCACATATGACTCTTGAAATGAGCTAGCATACATGGTTATGTCGGTTCAATTTATTTGCTGGCTATTGGACATAAGTTATTATTAGGTACTTAGTTTAGTCTAATAAGCAGTGAACTGCTTTTGCCTATTGATCATTGAATATGACGTAAAAGGATAAATCTGTTATTCCAATTGAATGCACATATATAAGTACCGGTATGAAACGTAACTTTAAATACACCGCTGGGCTACCCTTTAATTTGCAAAATTATATTGACCGGCAGACTGTACGATTGTGGCAGCTCAGAAGGTCGTATTTTTTGCAAACTATTCTTTATACGTGTTCACAAAGTGCTTCGAAATTATTCTCCGATTGCACCAATTCTCCTTTACAGGTGTGGCCTGGTGTGGTCGCAAGAGGACATTGCTAGGACAGCAGTCAGCTAAGGCTGTAGCTACTAATTTTTTTTACCTGCTCCTAAACGTGATTACCTAAACAAGCCTTTGCAAGCCCGAAGCTTTGATGAACAAGTGAAAATTGGGCATCGAATGGCACGAGTGCGCGAAGACGAAAAGACCAGTCCAGATTCAAGCACTAACTGTTCGTCGCAGTCGCCGGCAGCTGAAGTAAAGTCCCGCTTTTGCCAGCTATTAGGAGGGTGTGCATGTGTGTGTCAGCGCGCGGACGTAATCGAAATGGGCATGCTAATCGAAAAGCTTGTTATACCATTGTTTTCCTTTATCCTCTGCAGTTGCTATTCGTTTTCAGTTGGTTTTACATGAACATTTCTCGCCATCTCTCACGATCTCCTCTGTTCCTAAGACAAGAAGACTGTCCTAAGAAAACGAAAGGCAGCAGAAGTATGCTTCCGCAAAACGCAATCGTTTTTATTTTCCCGAGGCGACAAGCTCATTCTTCCATTCCCGCAAACCTAGACGTACCAGTACGGCAATGCGGAGCGGCGGGTTGTCGGTTTGGTAAACTGCAGCAAGAACCTGCCACAAAGACGTGGTCCTATCTAAAGGCGTAAGACTACGCAGGCCAATAGAGTACAGTGTTGCTTTCTATCAGATAATGAACAGAACAACAGTACAGGCAGATAAATCTTTTATTTGAGACGCGCCCGTCAATGTTTCGCCCACGTAATTAGGAGAAATCTAACAGCGAAAACGTGTCTCAGTTGTTGAACCAATGACGATAAGTTCGCAGGTTATATGCGATTCGCGGTTTTTTTTCCCTATGCTTTTATTGTATGACTTGTGTTCGATAGAGCGAACTTGAGTTATGAAAATTTTCTTCTGTTTTTCCTCCACACGAAATTATTATTATTATTATTATTCTTATGAAAAAAGTTAATGACACATCTTGCAGTAGGAGTGGTGTCTTGAACTACTGGATTTGCTTCTGTTGATAGATTTCTCGAATGTAAAAAACCAAATTATAGTAGAAAAATAGTTAGGTAATGCTATAAATGATGTCTTATATCTACATACACCGGTGTAACTATTCTTTGAGAAAGAAACCTTTAACTGCCATCTTGGCTAACTTGCAAAATCCAAGGAAGCGTTAAAAATGCAGGACGCCTAAAATATGGAACGAATATCGACTAAAGATTCAATATCACGTACAAAGATTGAACTATCGAATGCAGAATTACTGACATCGATGGAACTAACCAGCGGAAAAATAACGCCAGCCATTGTACTCTTCCGCATCCCATCAGTCAAAAATGTGGCAGCTAACGCAGGTAGCAGAACCTATTGGTTGCCATCGTGCTACTAGAGACGATAATGGTAGTAGGAAGACGAAGGGAACATTCGAAGGCTCACCTCGTTTCAATACTGACTAGGGCATTTGAGCCAAAAAACGTGAGGACTATCAAGGTGGTTGACGCCGTATATGCAGATACATCTTGTCGTAGCAAAGAGTCTTCAAAGAAGCATGGCTAAATGGAGCAAGACCACTAAGCAAATAGGTCGGATCAGGTCAGCATTAGAGCAAGCACTAAATGTAGATTTGTTTCGCTAAGGAAGTCGATGAAGGGTTATGCCGCAGTATATTGCTAGATAACGAAATAAGTTACTATTAGTTACTGATTAACAGTCATCTCTTACATAAGCTCCTATTAACAGTATTGATAATTATAATAATGCTCCCGTTATTATTTCTATTACTACACCAAACGCAATCAGAGCTTGATGTTTGTTTCAGTTCCTTTTACGTTACATTCGTTCCCGCGACGGCGTTAACAGCAGCTATGATAGGTTCCATATGTATACTATGAACTGATCTCACTACCACCAGGGTTGCTTTCCCATCATTTTTTCTTCTCTGCTATGATAATAAGCTTGTACTTTCGCTGATTATATATACTATTATAATACAATGCTGTCTTAATGCACTTATGAGCTTCATCTCCAGCCACACAACTGGCTCTCAATGTTCAGGTCCGACTGATCTGTTGCTATTCTGAGACGACGTGTGCAATGGAAGCTTCAGAACGAGTCGCTCTATTTTACCACGAACTAGCAGTATCACTATTTCGTTCAGTATCACAGTTTATGCAACCTAAATGTAACAGCGCCGGCTGGTCCTGCGACAGCAGGAGCTGCAGCGAAAGCCGGCAAACACGCAAACAGGGATGAAACTGTAAGGGGGGTTAACGAGAAGACAGACAATTACAGAGACGATAGTTTCTTTGTTTGTTAGCCTGCTCTTAATGTTATTTTCAGCCATCGTTTTCGTGGGCTCACACCTCAGTCAAAAGTAGAACCACACGTGTCCGCGTTTCCAAAACAAGGATGTTCTCTCAATTTTTTTCTCTGTGTTCACCTGCAGCCCTTGCTGTAGCTGCCTTCAACCTTTCAACTGTCGCCTCCATTTGTCATATCGGACAAAACTCATCGTTTTTTTTCGCAACTATTAATTTTAAGAGCTGAATTTAATCAAGGTCAAGGCTAAGCTAATAAATCGTCGAAGGTTTGTCTCACTTTCCCTCTCTCACTCTCTCTCTCCTACCACCAATCTCACTTCCACGTAGGCAGCTACAATACGTCTGTGATAAGGATAACCTCCAAAACACGTTGGGGCTTAAAGACACTGAAAAATAAACGTACACTGATGGGGTGTTTGCTAATAGCGGGCATTCTTCCTATACGCAGGCACGGATATACTGAGAAAATGATACTCTCTATATACGCCTAGAAATCCCAGAAAGTCGCGAGTTCCAAATACGTTTACTATTGGATAGGAAACTGGACAGGAATTTGGTTAGACCCTGCATAGTAGTGTCGTATAATCGTTGTATGAAGCTACGAGATGGCAAGTAAGGTACGATTTACCATGGCGATGTCCACTAGCCGACGAAGCCTAGAAGTGGTGATTGCAATGGCAGCTTCAGTAGAAGGAGATTGTACACCAGTAGAACTCGGTCTGAGAAGCAGCATAATGTTTGTCCGCGCACAACTGTGCTCTGGTGCCTCATGAGGGGCACCTCTACATGTTTAGGCGGTGTCAGTTCCTACGACGACACCTTCATACGAGGTGTATATCGGATTGTACAGCACCTTTGGTGGGAAGTGCCTTGTAAGTTACGATACGACCAATGTTATTAGGCAGTATCAGCGTTCCTTGTCTTTACATGATGTCAGATCTGGTTAAACGAATGGAGGCTACTACAAGGAATCTACTCCCTATATACAGTTCCTGCCATTTTGCAAAGCCTGCCGTAGTGCAGAACAGAACCAGCTGCCATTAATCAGAGCTCTATCCTATACCGGATGTTAGAACATGAAAGCTAAACGTGCTTCTGCACTTCGTGCGGGAATGTTAGATTGATGTTTTACTCACTTTGAATTTGAGTTTATTTACTGTACAGGCAATATGTAGTGCAAATATATACGATCTCTATGTGACCGTTTAATCCGCACGTTAACGACAAGCATGTATGTCATAAAAATGTCCATCAAGTATGTCGTATAATATTACTTCAGGTTTCTAAAAATAAGGATTACTTCTCTGTTTATGTAAGAAAAAATTTTGCAGGTTGTGAACATAGCAACGTTTTGGCTTTTCTATGTGCGACTGCACGTTACAAACGAACGCGTAGTTAACAAAAGCTACTCCCTGCTATCAATTTAGGTTCTCAAACGCTAAACAAATGTTAAATGATCATTGCGTACCAATGAGCGTAACGATACTATTTTCCAGATTCTTGAATGTCGGTATGTAAATGTCCTTCCCCTTTGCCTGAATGACTGCACTTTTTACCTGAAATAAATTAAAATTCAATGTTAAAGAATAGCCTTGCTGGTCTTTTACATATCTGAAAAAACTGCAGAAATATGTCATGTCTATTCATTCGTCCCCATGTTACGCTCACTCCAACGTTTTGATGCGTATTGCGCGAACTTGTAATCGTGAAACGTTTGCTTAGGACGTTTTATTAAAAACTACACCATGTGGAAAGGCACGTTATTATAGCCTTGCCTTCCTAATCTGCCTATTATTGAGCTGGGTTGCTGTCTATACCTACGGGCTGTTAGTGTACCGTCAGTAATCACTGCTACCAAACTAGACGGGTAGAGGAATGGATTTCTGGGAATATTTCCTACGACATTCAAATACTCTCTCGTGTGGAAGTGTGTATTTGCAAAGCACGAAACCTCTTCCATTCAAAGGTTTATGTTCTAAAATAGTGTTTACTTCAATAACTTAACAGTTCGGAAACGTCATTTGAAAATACATGACAAGTGGCGCGCTTTTTACCTCTGCTAATATCAGCTGCCAAATGAACGTCTTTTCAACTGCTGAGCAAATCATACCGTGTATTTTGTACGCTAATCATATTCTGCATTCGGTAACTATAGAATATGGGCATAGCAGATTTTGTTTACTTGAAATATTTCCTCTCCTATGTAATGTGGAATATATATTAGAGTCTATACTTATAAATGAAGTATCAGGGTAGAATAGAGCTTTATTCTCCTGTCAGGCTCCTCTTTCACTTCTTCCCATCGTTCTACGATCTAAGCCAATCAGTTCTACCGAAGTAGCAGAAGCTCCAGCTGCAAAGTTCTTATGCGACGCATAATGCTAAAACTGAACACTTAAAAGGCCGGCAAACTTAACGCCGGTCCCGAACTAAAGCTTTCCATTTAGCTCGGAACTAACCCGGTAGAACTGCGTCTGCTCTCTGTTTACAGTCGGAGAAAAATTTATCGTGAGACGAGTAAATGCGGTTACCAATAACAACAGCAAAAGCCGACCAGCGACTACCAGGAATTTTATCGTGCTAATATATATAAGGTTGTTAAACGTGGTGGTTAAAAACGAATCCGGCGGAATCTAAACTAGTCGACGATTTTTACTAGGTACTCTCTCTTATTTTTTACACACCTATGCCAGCGTTCTGGTAGTTTGTGGACCGCAACATAGCCAGCACTCACGTTTCCACATGAAGTTTCGCTGTCTATGGCTTCTCGAAGTAAATCTACAGTAAGGTACATCTGGCGACCAGCTGCCATTTTTAGGACATGTACAGCCCCGTAATCGCATGGACTTATATCGAAAGAGTAGGCGGGTCAAAGTCAATGTTGGATATTCCTCTGTTCAATCCGGAATGTACTTGAGGCACAGCAATGAGATCTAGTATTGTCATCAGATAGTCCACGAGTCTCTCGAGGAACTCGAAACGGCAGAATGCATTCGTTATTTCATTTTTAGCGAGTATCGCATCGTAGCATGATGTTTATTTGAAGTATTACCATGACGTTACGTCCGAACTAACTCGACAGTGTCACCGAACTCGAATTATCACCAGGGGGACCGCATTTTCTCGCGAAGTCTCTCACCAGCTGGTGGTTGAACTCAAACCATGTCTCGCTTATAATGGTCATATGCTTTAGACGGGTTTTTGTTGATTAAAGGTCCGCAACACGCATTTCCAACCAAGCTGGGATCAATTCTCGGGGAATTCATTCTTTACTCAGTTTTGACATTTTCAGTATTTCGGGGCATAGATCAGTAATACGTTACATATGAAATGCCAATTCTAGTCAACAAGCTCTTAGACCCCAATCTCGTTCTTGTAAAGCCCCTTTGGAAGGACTACCTTTTTTTAACGTGAGTCATCCCTTATGTTATTAGCGGCTTAGTTGTCAGTATAAAAAACAGTAGATGTAACTGCTGCCAGTGTAGCTGCATCTGCTGCTCTGCAGGAAATTGCCTTTGGCCAATGTAACCCCGCTAGTTCCGCTGCTATTGGGCCTCTTTTCCACTCAGGTTCAGGAGCGACGAAGGAAGCATCAGTTTATATCTGTAATAGAATGTCAACAACAGTTTTACCAGAATCATGCTCAAGGCCCTCATCATACTAGCAAAGCTCACGCTAGATAACTGACGTATACAATCTTCACAGCCATGAGCGTCTTGCCGCTATTACACTCTGCCTCAGACGACTCACTTTGTTTCAATCATCTGCACTCATTTCACATATTTTTAATAAAAAACGGCTGCTTTCTGTTCCCCAAGATGAGTAACAGTGGAGAGACTGTCGCGCTAATACAGGTCGAGGCATATGTCTATTATGATGCACAGTATTTGATTTCGACTGTCCGGATTATAAGAGTTGAGTTATTGAAAAGGATTCAGAAAAGGATTTTCAATAAAAAAGGAAGTCAGGCAACACAGTCCTACGCAGGTTTACCCTGAGCGATGCCGCACGTAATAGGTTTTCAGCACTGCTGTTCGACGAGTGGGTGAGACCGATAATTAATTGCTCGTTAATTACTGTATGATGTAGTATGCTCGCTAAACATATGGGCTGAGAATCCGCTAGCTCCCAGGCCTGCGGTGTATCGTCCTTTCGGCCCATTATTTTACTGCACAGATTTCCTAATTCAGTAATATTTTTTCACAAACGAACTATAGGATAGGTATAGCTCAGAACGACTACCTACATCAGTGAAAGAGCAGCGAAAGTTTTTTTAAAATTTTTTCTTTTATTTTCTTTTATCGCGTAAAGCAAAATTTCCCGACTGGAGCGCTCGAAAGCCGATACGAAAATTCATCATCCACGGCTGATACCTGCAGCAGCAGCAGCAGCAGCGAAACTAGAGATGCCGTGATATAGGAAAAATATACTTATTTTGAGCCTTAAGCCGCTTCTTTGGCAGCCCGTCCCCTCGTTGGAAGGCAATTTTTTACAATATGATGCTGGATCTCTCTTTTTCTTGCTCTCCTCACTTGATTCCTGTTGATTGTTTTTCTGGGCACTCCTGACCACGCAGTTGCATCTACTATATTTGCGAGAATTGAGGGCGATCGCGACAATGTAAAGCTTTTACTGTAAAGCCTTCTATATTACCGAACTTTGACTAGCGAATATATTCGAAATAATCAGAACCTATGCGTACTTCTTTTTCCTTCACATTCAGAATTATGGATATTATTAGAAAATAACGTATTGGATGCACCCAGTACTTTTGATGGACATCGATGCTGTATTTCACGAAAGGTGTTTTGCCAAAAATAGCCCAAAATATCCGAACCCCTATTGGAGAGGTATGGGCATCTCAGCATTCAAGCAAAATTTAGGTCGTGTATTTTGAGTTTGATTGTCAACCAATTCAACTAAATCTAAGTCAGCAAAATGGCTGAATCAGGTGGGGCTTAAAAGGTGTAGTCTTACTCGTACTTCATTTACTCAGTCTGAGGCTATAGGTTATATAGAGTCCGAATCTCAACACCAACCTGTTGATGAATGGCAGACAAATTCCTCAGGGGCTGATGGTTGCAAATGTAATCCACATTTCTACTCTGGTCACGGAGCACTTTGTCTACGAGCACATAGGTTTTGCAAGCTGGCCTCTAAGCCCAATTTGCGGGCCCGCCAGTGAAACCCATGTCGCCCATTTCCAGCCAATCACATTTTCCATCTGCAACTCCATTTCCATATCTGGACGGCGCAGACAAAGCCACTCACAAGAATACAGCAGAATACGGGTGTTGCTGCTAGACATGCACTTACCGAACTTGATGCCATCACAGACAGCCGCCACTCGAGCAGCGGTAACGTGTCTGGCGTATCGTGCAAACGTTGCGGCTCATTATCCTGATTCAGGATCTATGACTCCTTTTGCTCCCACCTACTATACTGTTCTATCGATATGTACTATGTACACCTGTCTTGTTCACTTAAATAGTACATGGCTAACTTCGCCTCCTTCTTTCCCATGTTTTGTGCTTCCAACTCAATCTCGATTGGCTATGTCGCACGAGTATTGCTAGCTACTTTAGCCAGTTTGCACGACACGATAATTGACGATCTGGTGAAGAATATGCTCGAACTCAGTCACGGGGGGCATGCAACAGGTCCGCAGCGGTAAACGCCAAACGGCCGGATCTAGAATTACGGGCTAGGCAATTTCGAAATCAACCACTGAAGAGGACCGATCTGACCAGCCAAAAGCCCAACCGCCTACGCGGTATCCAAGGGGGCATACTATACGGTTCAAAAAAGAAGAGGGCTGTGATTATCATTATCTGCATTGCGTCAGAGGCAACTGATCAAGTTAATTGTCCAGCATTGTTCACCCGTTGACCTCCAAAAAATTTTCAAGCAAAATCATTGGATGTTATCCGAGTGTTTGCGGTGTCTAACACCTAAATAAGGACCGGGAATCTGTTGGTATCCGTAGACAAAACAGGCATAAAAATTAGTCTAGTCTAATGGGTTTAGCAGGCAACTTTTTTTATTTATGACTAAAAACCTGTTTGCCTTTTCGAATACGCATAGCGATATGCTCTCAGCGTTCAAAAATTATCTTCCAACTGATAGTGGATTTACGGCTAGAAGCAGCTTAATATATAGAACAAAGTACTGAGTGAGACAGTATCTCTGCGCAAAACTGTTTTCGTTTCTCTGTGAAAGAAGTAGAAGTACTCTACTCATTCTCTGTATGTTGATTACACAGTTGGAGACGTTGGCGACATGAACTTGTATTAAATACAATATTGTGTTTACTTAGATACGTAGAATGGTTGCATTGTCCGCGAGCAAGATGGTCCTAGTTGAATGATGAGAAAACAGCTGACAACAGGAGTATAGCTTTATTATTAGGCCAAAAATGTAAGGAGTTTGACTGTGTATGCACTGTAAACACCTAATCGTCGAAATTTTAGCTGTCTAATCAAAAACAGTTCTTATCGGTTCCAATGTATTTGATATAGCATTTTTCGCGATCAATGAATCAACCGTAGCTTCTCAT